AGGGAGAGAGAGAGAAAGGAGAAGAGGAATAAAACGGCCAATCGCGCGAGAAATAAAAAAAATAAAAGATAGAAAATAAAACGCAGCAGCAGCAACAACAACAACAACAACAACAACAACAAGAACAACAAATCTAGTGAACACTTACACGCTTAATGTAACAATCCACAATAATACATGATATACACATGCCGTTTTTTTGAAATATGCATAAGCAAGGTCCGAGCATAGTCGAAACGAGCGAAAAAGTAAGGGAGAGAGCGATGTGTTAAGTAGGTAGAGTACAATCACTGCACACGCGAGATAAAGAAACGAAGAGAGCGTCGCAAAGTAGGGAAAAAAAAAATAGGGAAAAAGAGAGAAGATGAGAAAAAGATGAAAATCGTAGGGCATGAAAAAAAAGAACTGCTCGATGGGCATGCAAAAAACCGTTGTCTCGCTACTTTTTTGTGCGCAGCACCGTTCACCGAATCCCTTAATCACGCCACTCAGACAAGAAAAGAAAAAAACATTTATACACACATACACGCACACACATACACACATATACAAAACAACAACCCCGAAGAAGCTTCTAGTAGTGAGACCACTCTGTGTATTTATTGTATTCGAGGACAAAGTCATTCCCTCCCATTTTTACGTACTGTGTACACGCAGGCAGAGACACGCATATACACACACATGTACACACGGGAACGTTTACACGCACGGACACACGCTCCCTCGACTCGTTTTTTGACCCTTGAAATCCTTCTTGCTGTCATTTATGCTACACACATACACACCCTTTGAAACGAACACCCCCTTGTTTCCTTCCTGCAGCCAGATTAGCCAGATCCCCGCTTAGAGAGCCATCCAGAGAGCCTTGTGAACAGTTGTCATCCGAATCGTTGTAGCCTTTAAGCCGAAACTGCGTTATCGCACACATTTACACTATGCGGTATCGCAGTGTGGCGGCGCAGCAATTTTTCCGTTATTCTTCGAACAGATCGAGAACTCTTGTTTCTTCGGCAAATGCCCTCTCCGTTTGTCCAACTCTCCGTATAATTGTCCATTATTACTCCCTTCACCCACACTTCAACAAGAGTTTATCCCAAAACCGTTTTCTCAGACCCGACCCCCTTGTGAGTCCTCAATATTGAGCCCTGGATATGTCCCCCCCGCAAGCGAACTAGCGTTGATA